GCCTCTTGTACAATCTGGCTTTGATTGTACTTTCCTGTAACCATCTTAAAATAGTTAAAGTGCCTTTGTAGCCTTTCATAGGGGCCCAGGATTAAACTTCTAAATGTGAGGACACCAAATAGCCTTCCCTAACTTTGAGGAACATCATTTCCTGGGTTTTTCATGATCTAGGAGTCATGGGGTAATCACTCAAGTAAATTTCAAAGAAACTACACTTAAGGGAAACAAGCAGCACTTTAGGGGGGTTCTTAAGATTAGGTTCAATCATCTGACAGGGATCCTTATTTGTCAACCAGGGATTGATGTGTCCAAAAAATGATATATTTCCCTCTATTCACCCATTCGTTGTGTGACTTTTGAAAAGTCACTTATTTCTCCGTTGAAACATTTGTTTTATTCTCCAGGAGCTGGAATGAGGAATATTCAGAGGTAATGAAAATCATTTATCTTTTTGCATTTCTACTATTCTCCCTTTCCTACCCCTGAGCACAAACCAGAGTTTGAGTTACAATCACAATGCAAAAAAAATGAGAACCATTATTCTGATGAGAACCAAATAGACCTAGGACGAACAGTTACCAAGTGTCTTTCTGTGTGCCCAGAACTATGCTAAATGGTCGACATATATACCTTACACTCCATGGTGATTTCTAAGCTCAACATAAAATCAGGCCCATTTTACAGTTGTACAAATGGCAACCTTTAAAAAAGGTAATTTTGCCCAAAGTCACACAGCTGGTAAATCCACTTTCACTCAGTTAAATCTTTTCTGTTTGCCTTAACTGTACCTGAATCAAGGCACAAATTAGCTCTAGCTCAATATCAGTAAGGGAAGGAGAAAGTTTTATTAACTTACACTTGTAGTGTCCTTTTCTTTCTTGTAAAAACAATTCTAATAAAGAAAAATGATCAAAAAGTATCTTTTGTTCATACAATCCTATCACAGATATTTCACTTTTCAAAAATAAATACTTTCTCTTGTTTATTCACCTGCTTTCATCTTGTTACATAATTTTCAAACGGTATGTATATATTCATTTTCAGTCTTTTCCATGTGGCACTGTTTCTTTAAACATTTTCTATGCTGATGCTTAGTTTTTGAAAAAATGACATTTTAATAACAAAAATATTCTGTCCATCTCATGAGACATAATTTTCATTGGTCTGCTATGTAGGACATATAAGATATTTCCTTGCTATCACAGATGGTGTTGCATACTCATGTATACAGATTATTTTCATTGTGAATTGTTTCCTTACGACAAATTCCCAGAAATGGGATTTCTGACTTAGAGAACATTTATTAGCTCTTGGAAGCATAGTAACAGACCGTTATCTAAAAGTGATGCTCCAAATTGACTCCCATCTTTAATACCTAATGAAATTAACATCAGAATTTTTAAATCCAAAACTTCCCCAGCAATAACCAAAAAAGAGTTACAACTTAATTCTATAAATATTGGAATGTGGTGGACAAAGTGAGAAACCTAAGATTCTGGTATAGTGCATCTCTCAACCCACCTCATTGCTCATTGAGCTGCTAATGGTACTGCACAGAGGAAAGCAGGTGGGTTGTCCAAAGCCTAGGAGTTCTCACTGGTCCTCACCAATGTGGAGAAAGGTGGACTCTGGTGGTGGCTGGGCAGCTGCAGAAAAGGTCAGATATAACCTTTAATCAGAGAGGTCCCTCCATAATGCTAAAGAACTTTGGGTGGGGGGAACTCCCAGAGCTCCCATTATCCAGAATCCCATGCTGGGTGGCAATGTGAGCTGAATCCTACAGGAGTGGGGCTTGTCACTAGTTAACTGTGGGGAGAGAAATGGGTTCATGGTTCAAGATAGCCAAATTTCAGGGACAGAGTGCAGAGCCCAGATTCCCTTGGAATTTCCTAGGGACAACAGATTATTTCCCTTTATCTAATCCTTATAGCCTCAGGATACAGAAAAAAAAAAAGCCACACACCAACTTTGAATCGTGGCCAGAAAAGGTAAGATAAGTTGGTCCAAGATAATATTGGATAAATTTAAGAATTCCTAACTATATCAGAGCAACAGTGGTAAGGCAGTTGTGCAAAGATAAGAGATAGAGATAGATAGAAATGGGGGAGAAAGAAATAGAAAATATGAAGAAACAAAATATTTCTGTTGAATGGTATGGGATGGTGGTTAAAAAAAAAAGATAGATATGTCTAATCCCAGCTACTTAAGAGGCTGAAGCAGGAAGATTGCAAAGGCCAACCTAGGCAACTTAATGAGACCCTGTCTCAAAGTAAAAAATTAAAAGATGTGGTGATATATATCTCTGCTGTAGAGCTCTTGCCTAGCATGTGCAAGAACATAGTTTTAACCCCCAATACTGCAAAACAAACCAAATGAACAAGACAAAAAGAAAAAATGTTAAATAGAATCTAAATATCCATCAACTGATGAATGGTTAAATAAAATATGGTATATCCATATATTAAATAGAATTTAAATATCCGTCAACTGATGAATGGTTAAATAAAATATGGTATATCCATATAATAGAATACTTTTCAGCAGTAAAAAGAAATGCAGCATTCTATATATGCTACAATACGGAAAAACCTCAAAACATTACAAATGAAAGAAGCCAGTCACAAAAGAGCACATACTGTGATGTCACTTATAGGAAATGTACAGAACAGGTGAATCTATAAAGACTGAAAGTGGATTAAGTGATTGCCTAGTGCTGGGTGGCAGAGGATGAGGTGGGGGGCAGAGATTTGGGGGGTGACAGCTAAGGATTATTGGGGCTCCTTTTGGTGTCATGAGAGGTTCTGATATTTACTGTGGTAATGATTCACAAGTCTCTATCACCACATTCACATAGCCATATATTTTTATTCAGCTATTGAATTGTACGTTGAAATGGTTGAATTATATGGTATATGAGTTATATTTCCATGAAGGTCTAAAAAGGTTATAACTGGGGTTATAAAAAAGATTGACGACCCAAAAAAACAAACTGAAAACCAAATAAGGCTATTAATGGCCTGGTAATTGAATTACAACCAGTGAGGAAGAAAATATATGAGGCTAGACTTCTAACAAATGTCTTAAAGGAAAAGTCTGAAATAATTACACATACTGTGGAAGAAAAAGGTAGATGTTGAAGCAATTAGAGACAACATGATAGACATGAAGACCAAAAAATTGTTAATCCCTGAAGTGGGAAACCCAGTAAATACTCTAAACAATATACACAAAGATATAAATGCAGAAATTTTTCCTAAAATGAAGATGTATTCTATAAATTGTAAGAATATGATGTGTTCCAAGAAAAATTAATACAGAATAACTGACCAAAAAATATAACCTCATTAAATTATTAGATTTCTAAGTTAAAAGAGATTCTGTCAGGGAAGTAGTTTATTAAAAAAAAAAAAAAGTCAATAGGGAAAAATATTGACAGGCCTCCCTCAGCTTCTGCCCAGCAACTTAAAATATAAGAAAACAGAATTTAAATATTTCTGCAAAATGTGATATTCTCAGCCGAATCTCTGTTAAAACACAAAAGCAACAGGCAGAATTCTCAAACATGCAGAGACTGAGAGAATCAACCACCCATAAGCCTCTTCTTGAGAAGAAAATGAAATCGACCAACTAAGAAATGAAAGAAACTAAAAAATGAATCAAAACAAAGAAATCCTAAATGTTCTGTGTTAAAAGGCCTAACTCCTAAGAATTGAATTCTTTAAATACTGTATAGACCTAAGACTAAGGAATGGGAAAATTATGGCTGCAGAACAAGACATGAACATTATAAACCCAAGCAGAATAAAAGTTCTATCATCCACAACAGCAAAACAAGCCAGAAGAGAGGCAGCGGGGAAGAAGATTGAGGGGAACCTGTGCTTTCATAAAGAAATTGATGATGGGGTTCCAGGGATTTAGCTCAGTGGTTTCGCCTCCTGCTCCGCAAGCGCAAGGACCCGAGTTTGATCCCCGGTGCCAAAAAAAAAAGAAAGAAAGAAATTGATGACACTGGTTCAAACTGAATGTGTATTTACAAGGAAAATTATGTGATGTCAGGTTTTGCTTTAAAATAAGCAATGAAGGGAAGGGAAAGAGGAAAAGAGGAGGAGGGAGAGAAGGAGGAGAGGGAGGAAGAACAGGAAGAAGGGAGGGAGAAAGGAAATAGTGATGGTTGGTGATGGGAAATGGATGAGTTGCAAAAGAGTTGCAAGGTGGCTGGGGATTTAGCTCAGTGGTTCCATTGCCTGCCTGTAAGCTCAAGGTCCCAAGTTTGATCCCCAGTACCAAAAAAAAAAAGAGTTGCAAAGTGTTGCTAATCGTTGAAGCTGATGACAGGATAGTTTATTATACTTTTCTCTTTATTTTGAATATTTAAATTTTTCACAATGAAAAGTTTAAAATACAATAACAAAATCAGATTACATGATTTTTGAGGACGCTACCTCCTTAAAGGCTGGGAAATATTTTTTTAATTGAGAATCACCTTTTTAAAATATTATATGTCAGATGATCCCTTTCTCATACAATGCCTTGTCATCTGTCTGTCCCTACATCTTCAATATGGTAGCAGGAGGTAGACTGGAAAGGTTGCCATCAAAAGTCATTTCTGCCTGTGGGTTTGGTTTTGTTTTGCTTTTTGAGACAGGATTTCACTATGTAATTCAGGCTGGCCTTGAACTCACGGGGATCCTCCTGTCTGAGCCTACCAAGGGCTGGAATTACAGGCAGGTGCCACTATGCCTAGTTTTGGAGTGATTTATTGCTTTCCTTTTTTAGTCCTTGCTGTTTACATTATTAAAATGAATTCAATAACATATAATCAGCACTTCTCATTGTTCTTTGAAAATTATTGCTTTGATTTATACAGTTAGCAGCAAAATATCACCACAACTAAGCCACCTGTATAATTTGGATACTGATAGTTAAGGTAGTCAATTGTGTCAAATCTGCAATGTAAACCTTTGGTATGCTGATGACCTGTTCTATTTCTTTGGGTCTAGGAAGCATCTATGACTTTTTTTTCGTCAAACATGGTAGTGGACATTGGGACACATGGACTGAGTATATCACCAAAGAGGAGGAAAACATTCCTGTTAATGCAAAGGTAAAAGAGAAGCATTGGCTATGGAACTTTGGTCTCTAAAACTACTTAAACTTTTTTTTTTCTTTTGCTGTGCTAGGGATGGAACCCAGGGCCTTGCTCATACCCGGCAAGTGCTCTACCACTGAGCTAAACCCTCAGCCCAAGGTGTGAGCATTTTAAAGAGCTTTCTTTTTTTTTTTTTTTTGTACCAGGGATCGAACTCGGGACCTTGCGCTTATGAGGCAGGCAGTAGGACCACTGAGCTAAATCCCCAGCCCTTAAAGAGCTTTCTTCAGAAAGAGATTTAAACATGAGTTGGATCAAACCTTCCAAAGCATAGACTTTAAAATCAGAGAGACCTGGATTCATTACTCAGCCTTCACGCTCTCTACCTTAGTTCACTCGACCATAAAATGAAAGAAAAATTATTTAAAGGATGATTGCAAAGGTTGAAGGTGGTGTACATGACCATCTGTTACATAGTCAGGTTTAGATTGATGTTTGTTGCTGTTCTGATTATTATCAATAATGCTCAGGAGGTTGTCAGGCTTGGTGGCACAGGCCTGTAATCCCAGCATTCAGGGGGCTGAGGCAGGAGGATTGCCTCGAGTTCACGACCAGCCTAGGCTACATAGCAAGTTTCCTCAACTACAGAACAGGAACAGTAATGCCCACATTTACATGGTCTCATTTGATGCAAACCAATTCTGTATATTAGCTGCCATTATTATTCCCATTTCACAGAGGGAGAAACTGAGGGCCCTGGGAAGTTAGAAACTTACTCAAGGTCATAAAGATAATGAGGGATGCAACTAGAATTCAAACCCTAACCCTTGAATGCCAAGACCCAGCCCCGAGTCCAGGACCAAGATGCCCCCGTGTCTTTGTGGTACAGGTCTCAGAGCTCATCATCCCCACAATGGAGACAGCCCGGCAGTCCTTCTTCTTGAAAACCTACATGGACCATGAGATCCCGATGCTATTTGTGGGTCCCACAGGCACTGGGAAATCAGCCATCACCAACAACTTCCTTCTCCGCCTACCCAAAAACGTCTATGTACCCAACTGCATCAATTTCTCTGCCAGGACTTCAGCCAATCAGACCCAGGATATCATCATGTCCAAGCTGGATCGGAGGCGGAAGGGTCTTTTTGGGCCTCCCATAGGGAGGAAATCAGTGGTGTTTGTGGGTAAGGCATTGGCCTAGGTCTGGACACAACTGGCTTCTTCTACTCTGTGGCAAACCAGAGCTTCCCTTTCTTTGTAGGCCCACTGTTCAGTCCTTTTCCTCTTTCTAGGAAATAAAATATTTGTAGTTAATATAATCTAGTATTCTTTCCCTCTCCTTCTGTTCCTCTCTCACCACCTTCCCTTCCACCTTCCCTTCCTTCCTCCCTCTCTTTCCTCCCTTCCTTCTCTCCTTCCTTCCATCTTTCCCTCTCTCCTCCCTTTCTTCCTTCTTTCCTTCCTGTGAATAGTAGTTCTAGAAGGAGACTGTGGTGTGGCATCTCCAGGAGCAACATATACTTTGTGATAAGCCCCTTGTTTCATTTTGCCCTAGATAAGTATGTTATCACACACAAACAAACCTAATAGTTGCTAAATAAATATTTTTGAAATAAGAACACTGAATTTTCTCAGGACTTTACTTGTTTACAAAGCACTTCCTCATTTATTTCATTTGAGCCTCTGAACCCAATGAGGTTATTAATTATTATTATAATTTTCTTTATTAATTGAGTCTCCAAAAGGTTAAATTCCCTGTTCAGGATCAAACATCTAGAAAATTCTGGAACCATGATCCAAATCCAGATTTCTTGGTGTCAGACATATTTTCCACTACCTGATTTCTGACTCAGGGAGCTCTCATACTGCACCACTCTTCTGAGTTATCCCATGACCTCTCTTTAAAACTCATGTACTAATTGTAAATGTCACATGCATTTATCTCCTTGACAACTCTCATCAGCTCCTTGAAAGGCTTAACACCAGCTTCCTATTTTATTTATTTTTCTTTTCTTTTCCTCTCTTCCTTCTTTCCTTCATCCTATTCTCCCTCCTTATGGTGTCCCCTAAAAACAGTTTCAACTTTACAGCCAAACATATTTGGGTTCCAATATCACTTTTTGGTTTTTTTTTGTTTTTGGTTTTTTGCAGTAGGAAGAATCAAACTCAGGACCTTGAGCTTACGAAGCAGGCATGGTGCCATTGACCTAAATCCCCAGCCCCTCCAATATCACTTTTAACCCAAACCATAGTGCAACTTAACCTCCCTGACCTGAGGGACTTTACAGTCAGTATTTGGATTAGATGAAATAAATGTCACTTGGCACAAACTGGATACTCAATGTTTGTTGAATAAAAATTAAAAGACCTTCCATTTTATGGCATGCTTCCTGTGTGCCAGCAATAAGCAATGTTTATTGGGGAAAACATCATTTCCACCTCCAAGGAAGCACATAATCTATTCTGCCATTTTGGTTTCACTTATCAAAAACCCTTGCTCAACTGGGTGCAGTAGCATAAGCCTATAATCTCAGCTACTCAGGAGGCTAAGGCAGGAGGATCCCAAATTCCAGGCCAGCCCGGGTCAATTAGTAAAACGCTGTCTCAAAATTTTAAAATATAAAAAAGGGCTAGAGATGTAGCTCAGTGGTAAAGCATGTGCTTAGCATATGTGAGGTCTTGGGTTCAATCCCCAGCACCACTAAAACTCATAACACAAATGTAATATGAGGCCCATATCACATTTGTAAGTACCTGTACTACCGGGTACTTGTGAGGTGGAGGCAGAAGGAATACTTGGGTGAGCCCAGGATTTTGAGGCTAGGCTGGGTAACATAGCAAGACCCCCATTAAAAAAAAAAAGAATCTATTGGCTGGGAGTTTACCTTCACTGTCATATATCGCTAGCAATTAGCAAAATGCCTAACATAGTGTAGTCAGTCAGTACATTTTGGTTGAAGGAAATGAGAAAAATTAAATGTCGGCCTGTTGATGTCAGTCCACCCATCAGATAATCGCAATGCGCAGAGATCTCAATAAGTCAGGAGAGCCCAGGACCCAGGAACCTCCCCCGCAATGGCCAGCTTGTCCATTGACTGAACCTTGCATTGAGTGTGGATGAAACATCTGTGCACAGACTGCTGTGGAGGGGCTACTGATCTGTTACCTCCGTGAGAGCAGAGGATCCATGGACTTACAACATGTGTCTGTGGCTTCTTTCCACAGATGACCTCAACATGCCAGCCAAAGAGGTGTATGGGGCCCAGCCCGCCATTGAACTCCTGAGGCAGTGGATCGACCATGGTTACTGGTTTGACAAGAAGGACACAAGCAGACTGGACATTGTGGATATGCTACTTGTGACGGCCATGGGTCCCCCTGGGGGAGGAAGGAATGACATTACTGGTATGTGCAGGAGAGAGCCCAGCCTCTCCCTCACTGAGCACAGCTGGCCTACAGGGCACTGAGTTGAGAGGGCATGGAGCAAAATGTGTCTAGGATATAGCTGGAGGGCTTTAGTTTAGCTCCAGACTTCATATTGGAAGCTGTGTGAATAGAATGGGAAGATGACAAAAGGATGCAAGGAATCTTTGGCTAGGTGCAAGGAAAAAAATGAATGTCACATCAAGAGGAGAGTTCAGTGTGGCCGGCTTGTGTTCCAGGAGACGGGCTAGTTCTGAGGTCAATCAAGGGTGCATGCAGAGTCACTTTTAATATTTGTTACAATTCTTCAGGTTGCCAAAAATAGAATACCTAACTCCAAGTGGCCTAGCAAAATGAATGATAATATAGCAGGCAAATAGATGATAGATAGATAGATAGGTAGATAGATAGGGGTAGATTTTCTTCCCTATCATCTAGCAGTTCTGGAAAATATTTTAAAAGAGATTTTTAAAAATCAAAATATAAGTGAAGACAGGTACTGCAATGTGGATGAATTTTAAAGACATTAGTTTAAGTGAAATCAGTTGGTCACAAAAGAACAATATGGTATAATTCCATTCATATGCGATATCAAAGTAGTTGAATTCATACAGACAGAGAGTAGAATGGTGACCCACTAGTTACATGAGGCTCAGAAGCACTTGGAAAGTGGTGAGGGAGAATGTGGAAATCCATTTATAATGTCACTCAGTATTAATTAACTTCAGTTTAAATAGCTGCATATGGCTAGAGGCTGACACACTGGATGGCATATCTGCAGAACACATAGGTGGAGGAAAAACCAACTTTCCCATATCCCAGGATCACTAGGTCCTAGAAGTGTGAATGTGTGCAAACTTGAGTGTGCATGTGTTTTCCAGGACGATTCACTCGTCATCTGAATATCATTTCTATCGGTACCTTTGAGGATGACATTTTAACCAAGATTTTCTCTTCTATTGCTGACTGGCACTTTGGGAAAGGGTTTGACGTGATATTCTTAAGGTAAGAGGTTCTTGTGTCTTCCTAGATATTGGCTGAGTGTCCCATTTCTGGCCCGTTCTTGACTGATCTGGCCTTTTCTTCCTCCCAAGGTACGGAAAGATGATGGTACAAGCTACCAAGACAATTTATAAAGCTGCAGTGGAGAACTTTTTGCCAACTCCCTCCAAGTCACATTACGTCTTTAACCTGAGGGACTTCTCACGAGTGATCCAGGGGGTACTGCTCTGCCCTCACACCCACCTCCAGGTCAGCCACTATCATTTCAGTTTCTGTTAACGTGCCTAGCAATATCTTTACATATGCCATGAGAGTGGTAGTAGCTAGCTTTTATTAAGCACTTTGTCTATGCCAGGCATCATGCAAAGTATTTTACCAGCATTATCTTATTTACTCCTCACCTCAACCCCAAAGTTTAGATACTGCTTGAGAACTACCATTTTGGGCATCATGTTTCATTCATTCAAATAATTAACTCTGGATTTTTAGGATGTAGAAAAATTTATCCGCCTTTGGATTCATGAGGTTTATCGAGTCTTTTATGACCGTCTGGTTGACATAGAAGACAGACAGGTATTCTTCAACATGGTGAAGGAAACCACCTCCAATTGCTTCAAGCAGACTGTGGAGAAGGTAAGTCAGGTACCTTTGATCATTTGACATCAGAAATGGTCTCCAGTGTTTGACCAATATTAGTCTCAGATTCCAGGCTCTCTTCCCAGTAGAAACTCACCACTCTGCTCTCTGAATCTCAGGAAATGGTATTGCATGGGTCAGCTAGTCATTTGATTTGGCCACATATTACTTAGTCCAACTTCTTTTGGTGTGGTACTAAAGATCAAACCCAGAGTTACATCCCCAGGCCTTTTTATTTTGAGACAAGTTCCCTCTTAAGTTGTCTAGGCTGGCATTAAACCTGCAATTCTCTTGCCTCAACTTCCCAAGTAGCTGGGATTATAGGTGTGCACCACAATATCTGACACACATTCTTCCTTTAATGTGCTTTCATCATGGTCTTTACAACAATCAGATTAACATACTATTTTAAAGAAATAAGGAAATAAACAAACATGATGACAAACTGCAACTTGAAGGATGTGCTTAGAAGAAGCAAGTGCATCTCCTGTTCCCTCCTTTCACACCTCCCGGTGCCAGCCTGGTTAGACCACAGGCTGAATGCCCACCTGACATTTATCTTTCTCACAGGTGCTCATCCACTTGTCACCCACTGGAAAGATTGTTGATGATAACATCCGTAGCCTCTTCTTCGGGGATTTCTTCAAGCCAGACAGTGATAATAAAATCTATGATGAGATCACTGACCTGAAACAGCTGACAGTGATCATGGAGTACTACCTGGAAGAATTCAACAACATCAGCAAGGCTCCTATGTCCTTGGTCATGTTCCAATTTGCCATTGAGCACATCTCCAGGATCTGCAGAGTCTTGAAGCAGAACAAAGGCCATTTGCTCCTGGTGGGGATTGGGGGCAGTGGACGGCAGAGTGCCACTAAACTGTCCACGTTCATGAATTCATATGAGCTATACCAGATTGAGATCACAAAGAACTACACAGGCAGTGACTGGCGGGAAGACCTGAAGAAGATCATGCTGCAAGTTGGGGTGGCCTCCAGGAGTACTGTGTTCCTCTTCACTGATAGCCAGATAAAGGATGAGTCATTTGTTGAGGATATCAACATGCTTCTAAACACGGGTGATGTGCCCAATATCTTCCCAGCTGACGAGAAGGCTGACATTGTGGAGAAGATGCAAATGGCAGCCAGAACATCAGGAGAGAAGATTGAAGTCACTCCTCTTTCTATGTACAACTTCTTTATTGAGAGGGTGAAAAAGAACCTACACATTGTGCTTGGTGAGAAGGAGCAAACTCAGTTTGCCCCCTTTTTAAAAAAAAAATACAGGTGTTTTAGGTTCTTCTCAGTACCCTAATCCCAGTGCCCTTACAGTGGTCCCACAATTGATCCAACCAAGCACCAGTCAGGGTTCAGCCTGGAGTTCCTCTAACAATGTTTCCCACTCCTCCTGAACCTATTCCACTGTCTTCAATTCTCTGAGAATGTGCTTTAGCATATTGCCCTTGCCCATAACCACACCTGGTACTCTCTCTGTGAATGGAACCCTCAATCTATCCAGAAACTTAGGAGTTGTGGTGAATACTTCTTTCTCTTGACCAGGTCCCATTGATTTTTACATCCTCCCTGTCTCTCATATCCACCTTCTTATCTCCATCTCCACCACCCTCATGTTAGCTAAGCCACTATTATCTCTCCCAGATCTCACCTCTAAAACTTTCTAACTGTTGTATGTCTGTTCTTGTCTGTTCTAGACCTTTCAGTTTCACTGAGCCAGGGTGATTCTTTTCATCATATTGTGAATAGGATCATTGCGTATGTGTGAGTGTCCACATGCATGCACACCACACATACATGCACACAAATTAAAATACTGAAATTGCTTTCTGTTAAGATAAGGACTAAAATGTCTAACCTATGGTCTTATGAGTCCATCTCATATCAAACCAAGCTCTCCTCTCTCTGTTCTTCATCCACACTGATCTCCCCACATTTCCACTTATGCAGTATGCTTCCTCCTACCACACTGAGTCTAAGTAAATAATGAATGGAATTTGGGATGTAGAACTTGAACTTTGTGGTTGGGTGGAGATGGCATCAGAAACAACCTGTTGGCAGCTTCTGTAAGTAACTGGGATTTCCTTATGTCTGAGCCAGCAGAGATAATAGCAAACGGGCCACAGGGCTCCAGCCACTGTAACTAAGGGACCCCAAGAATCTAGAAGGAACTGTATATAGCAGGTTAGTCATAAGGCTATTGTGATATACTGGGATCTCATCTCAAAGTTACAGAAAATACCCCCTGATTTTCTGCCCAGGCAGTTGTCATGCCTACTCATCTCTATACCCCTGGAGCATCAAAAGATGCATAACCCCCCACACCCCACCTTAGCATACCAGTATCCTTGGAAATGCTTATCTGTCCCCCTGCCTTGGAAGAATGGAATTAACAAAGCTTACTTTTCATCAGCCATGAGTCCAATTGGGGATGCCTTCAGAAACCGCCTGCGGATGTTCCCTTCATTGATCAATTGCTGTACAATTGATTGGTTCCAGTCCTGGCCTACTGATGCCCTGGAGTTGGTGGCCAACAAATTTCTAAAGGATGTGGAGCTTGATGACAAAATTCGGACAGAGTAAGTGTTGGCTGCATTTTAGTACCTTGAATATTTCAAGTTGAAAATCTAGATGCTTGTTCTGTTCATATTGTTGTTTTAGATTTCTCAATTTACATATAAAAAAAGTCTTACTCTTTTTTTTTTTTTTTTGGTACTGAGGATCAAACTTGGGACATTGCGCTTGCGAGGCAGGCAGCAGAACCACTGAGCTAAATCCCGGGTCCAGTGTCTTACTCTTAAATTGAATCACATTTAGTTAGACATTTAATAAAGCACCTTTTATGAAAATAATAAAATATCATTGTTCAGAATTGTCTTGGAGATGCACTCTTGTCCTAACTACGAGGACCTGATATAGTAATTTAGTTACATCAGTAGTCTTAGAACATGCATTCTCAACAGGAATGATCTTGCTGTCAAGGGAATGAAGTGGTCCTTGTGAGGGTGAAAAAAGCTTTCTCTTTTATGTAGAAAGCACAGGTACACAAAAATGCCCACTCATTTACACATTAGTTTTGGCTGTAGTAAGGGAAGTGATGAGAACGTCCACCACCCTGAGTATCCTAAGAAGGCAGAGATCAAACTTCTTTGTCTCCCCCTATATCCTTAGTGTTTATCAAGTGCCTGCTACATAGTAGGTTCAATTACTGTTTATTAAATGAATGAGTGAAGTAGGCAAGATTAGGGTATCATTGGTCTTAAATTCCATTTTGAGACTTGTAAACTTTACTTCTGTAGACCAGAAAACCTCTAACCTGGACTCATGGTTAAAATTTATTTGATGAATATGTATGGAGATAAATTACTATCATTTCTACAGACATCCAACTGATATCACATATTTCCTTTCATAATGAAGACAAACATAAACCCCAGATCAACTATCTGGGCCTGTGACTTTGTTACTGGTGGTAATCACCACTCTTTTCACAACTTACTTAGTTGTGATACCTACTTATAATACTTCCTTCAAAATTATGTTGGTTTCTAGGTCTCCTGCTGAGTCTTGTTATTTAATACAGTGGCTGGCAAACTATGGTCCATGAGCCAAGTTCAATTCACAGCCTATTTTTGTCAATAAAGTTTTATTGGAACACATCCGTGGCCATTCATTTACTCAGTATTTATGGCTGTTTTTGAACTACAGCTGTGGACCTGAGTATTTGTGACAAGTATCATGTGGCCCCAGAACACTAAAATATTCACTCTCTGATCCTTTCCAGAAAAAGTTTATGGACTCCTGACTTAGTGCAGTAATAAAGAACCACATATATTACTATATTGCATATTCAGTTTTCAAAATATTTTGAAAAGTGTGTTTCAGTGTAATTGGTTTCCTTGGTAATCCTATATATCCTATGCATTTTGTAACATTATTCTGCAAATCTAGACTAGAAAAGGTTAGAAAGTCCTGCTTAACCCTTGGTGACTCAACCAAGGGGTAAGAAGAGATCATTCCAGTCCCTCTCTCTTCCTTCTCTACCTTGGCTCTCTTGACTTGTTGGGTTGTAGTGGGCCATAGCCAGTGTATGTACCTTCTCACACCCTCATGTTTTTCTCCTAAGATGTACTAGATTTTCTTGTAGGAAATCGAGTGCCATCTAACAGTCGTGCTATCTTTGGCAGGATCATCTGCATGTGTAAATACTTTCAGGAGAGTGTGAAGAACCTGTCACTTGATTATTATAACACACTTCGAAGACATAACTATGTTACCCCCACATCCTACCTTGAACTGATTCTAACCTTCAAGACGCTCCTGAACAGCAAAAGGCTTGAGGTGGACACAATGAGGAACCGATACCTGACAGGCTTGGAGAAACTGGACTTTGCAGCTTCCCAGGTGAGTGCTGCCCAAACAGAACAGGGAAGAAGGGGGCCAGAACAGAGCAAATGTGGCAAGGCACTTGATCAGGTGCTGCACTTGAGGGCACCAAATAAAGACAGGATCCAACCTGAATTTGCAGAGCTCACTTTGCTCGCCTCATTCTAATCCTGGCCCCATAAGATCCTGTCTTCGTTTATGATTTTAATATTTTGCTCATCATGGCATTTTTGGCATTGATTTTGATTTCTTAAAATATTGCAATAAAGTACTATTTATTTTAAGCAGAGTATTCTGTGTTCCCTTAAAAGTACCTGAGATGGCTGGAGGTTTAGCTCAGTGCTTCCGCCATCTGCCTCGCAAGCACAAGGTCCCAAGTTTGGTCCACGGCACCAAACAAACAAACAAACAAACAAAAGTACCTGGGATGAAGGTGGTAGGCTTTGCTGGGTCAAATCTGGGTTCAAATTCCAGCTGTCCAACTTACCAGTTACAGAACCTTCAACATGTTATTTCACTTGTTGAGGCCTCCATTTCCTCTTCTAGACAAGGATGATGACAGTTTTTACTGCAAAGGTCTGTTGTGAAGATCAAATAAGTGACCCAAATACAGCCTTCAGTGAAGTGCCTGGCGTATGAGTTATTAATTAGTTTGTGCTTGGAGCCACTAGACAATCTAAAATTAGAGCCATGTTATGAGATGGATTTTTAGTGTCAATAAGGAACTATGGCAACAGATTGATTTGAAGTGAGTTAACCTATGGCTATGTACAACGAACCCTTGAACATTATAACACAGTAATGGGAGAGAACATCAGAAGTGGCCTCTGCTGTCTGCTCTGAGGGCTGTGAATCCAACTCAGCATCCTTGGATTTTAGAGGGGTGTTGAAAACTAAAGTCTTCACAGTCAAGGGTGAGCAAACTATGTTGTTTTGGGAGCAGAAAGGGGACCTAAAACTGTCTAGACCAGAAAAGGAAATGACAGGGGCAGTTAACATTCCTTGAACTCTACCAGATAATCCATTTTGAGTGTGAGAAAAGTACTATTTTTATCTGCATTTTACACACAAACAAACCAAGACACAGAGATGCCAGGTAACTTGGCCATGATCACACAGCCTGGTGAGTGGTTGGACCAAAACTGAAGCTTAAACCTGCTTGACTCCAGGGCTTGTGTTCCTAACCAGGCCAGTGGGCATGCCCCGGCTCCCACCCAGGCTCACTGGTGACAATGGGTGTGAGGTCATGAAGAGCCTCTCCAAACACTTGAAATCCAATCCCATGTGTCTGAGCAGCCTTAGAGGGCAGACTCAGCACCATAGGGTGAAAACTGTAGTGGATAAATTCACCCTCTTCCACAGAAAAATGTGATGAGTTTAGTTGTCTGAAAAATGGCACTACCTGATAGGTAGTGAGCTCCTCATCATTAGAGGTGTTCAAACAGAGATCAGAAAACCCTTTGATGTGGGCCGGGGATTTAGTTCAGTGGTGCCGCCACCTGCCTCACAAACGCAAGGTCCCGAGTTCAATCCCCAGTACCAAAAAAACCACCAAAACTAACAGAAAACCCTTTGGTGGAAATATTTTAGAAGACATCAGACTTTATCTTAGTTATTTCAGGTTGGCATAACAAGATACCACAGTCTGGTAGCTTCAGTAACAAGCCTTTACTTCACATGGTTCTGGAGGCTGGGAATTCCAAGGTCAAGGCACCAGCAGATGAATTATATGGGGGCAAGAGGCTCTCTTCCTGGTGTGCACACAGCCACCTTCTTGCTGTGTATTCACATGGTGGAAACAGATAGAGCTCATGTCTCTTCTTTTTATAAGAACATATCTCCCGTCATGCAGGCCCCACCTTCATGACCAGATCTAACCCAAATTATCTCCAGAGGCCACTGGCTTGGGGACTAGGCTTCAGCATATCAATGAGGGGGCACAAACTTTGAGTCTCTAGCACCGTTGGAAAAACTAGCCTTGAAATTCCCTTCTATATCAGTTATCTTATCTTTCTCTGCTTCCTTCAAATCTTTTTTTTAAAAAGTATAGCTTTTAAAAGTTTTTCTTGGCTTGCTTTTTGGCTTATCTTTCCCCAACACTAAAAGAGACAAGGGAAGAAACTGTACCTTTTAAAAAACTGTATTTGCCATTGTATTACTATTGCCTAGCACAGAGATTGTTAACTATAACACACGCATGGAACAAACTCAGAATTGATCAGAGACAAACAACAGCCAACAAATACATACCCAGTGCCGTGTCAAGATTATCAGTCTATACTTTCTGCATATGTTGAAAGATGGGAAAATTATTTCAACCCTTGCCAACTTTGTCATTTTTTTGGCATTGGCACAGCTGGCCATGTACTCCTCCCACCCTTCTCTCCTTGCTAGGTGGCAGTGATGCAAGTAGAACTGACCGCCCTCCAGCCTCAACTCATCCAGACCTCTGAGGAGACAGCTAACATGATGGTGAAAATTGAAGAGGAAACAAGAGAAGCTGATGCTAAGAAACTTCTGGTGCAGGCAGATGAGAAAGAAGCCAATGCCGCCGCTGCAGTTGCTCAAGAAATCAAGGTATGAAGAGTCAGGAGAGGCAAGCTAGTCCTGCAGAATGTGCATGGCCATACCCATCTTGCCAATGAGACAAGTGAGGCTCAGAAAGGGTAGACTTTTCCAGTATCATAGCTAGTAAGTGGTGAAGCAAGTCTTTCTGGTACCTGGCTCTCTCCAAGAATATTATTTTCCAAACATTCGCCATCTCACTCAGAGTCAAGGCTGATATGACTCATAATCTGACTTCATCTGCTTCTACTTTCCTGTCATTCACTCTATACTGCCCACACTGGCCTCCTGATTATTTCTTAGATAAATACAATGCACATTCTTACTTCAGGGCCTGTTCCCTTTGCCCAGAATACTCTTCCTTTAGTTATCCTGTGGCTATCCCCTTCATCTTCATATTTTTGTTTAATTATATCTAGCAAATTTTAAGTGTGGAACAAATATCTATCAAATAATAGAATGCTGAACCAAAAGGACTCCATTTGAAGGTAATTCTTGTATCGAAGAAGTCTTGAGAAAGACTTGGCCTACATTCTGATATTAGAAGAAAAATCTCATTAGCATTGATATGATGTTACATCTTTCTCAAAATACTTCGTGATACTTGATTCCATTCTCATATCACAACCACCTTGAGACCTAGGAATGGCAGCTATCAATATCTGAGAGTTAATGATATTGAGGTCAGTGGCAGAAAGGCCTTCCAGGGCAGTACAGCTAGTTAGTAGGCTTAGACTCTAAGGTTCTTAGCACTTATCTCAAGGCACTTCTCTCTATACCCCCACTTAGCAGCTGGAGAACTCTTTCAGCTGTTCTCCAAACTTGGGTTTCAGTGAGAAGTAGCCTGTGTCATACTTCTGTCCTGGAGAGGTCATGGGGGCTTCTCTCAACAAGGACCTGCCTTCAAACTGGCTTTTCTCCAGTGAGTCCGGAGACCTTGCCTCTGGCAGCTTCTCTTTGTGTCTGATCCATGGTCTCAGAGTCACACAGTGAATACCCTAGATCAGTGATGGTGAAGCTTTTAGAGCTTTCAGTGACATGAACAGCCCAGGTTGGCACACATGCCGTAGGCTCGCCACCACTGCCCTAGATTATTGGAAGAACTGTTCACTCACAGTCCTAATGGTTTGGACAGAAAACAAATGGAAAGTATAAAAGATAGTGACTACCAGGCACCCAGAACCATAATCAAGCTGGTGATTTGCCATTTGGGGATAAGATAATAATAATAGCTACTACTTCTCAGCACCATAGATATTTCTCTGCTATTTGTACTCTTACCAAATATTTGTTGAACACCTACTATGTGCTGCCACTATTTTAAGCAGTAGAAAAACATGTAGGAACAAAATGGGCAAATTCTTTCCATCATGGAGATTATATCTTTCTTTCTTTCTTTTTTTTGGTACTGGGGATCGAACTCGGGTCCTTGCGCTTATGCAGCAGGCGGCAAAACCACTAAGCTAAATCCCTGGCCCAAGATTATACTTTTCTATGGTTGTTCACATTGTCTTTAATCATCCTATAGTGCAAATGGCATCATGTCCATTTTACAGGTGAGGAAATCATGATATAGAACTTGTCCAAGGTCACACAGCTACCAAGGGATAGAATCAGCCTTCAAACCCAGAGCTGTTTGGAACCCAAAGCCTTGGAATTTGGCCATCATTCCAGAAGTCACAAACTGGCAGCCAGGGGCCACATGTACACTGTGACATACATAATTATTTTAGTGGTCATGAATTTCTTCAGGTGTTCTTTGTCATGGAAGTATCTTCTCCATCAATTTTGAAAGATAGTTTTGTGGGGTACATCAGTCTGGGTTGGAGGTTGTTTTCTTTTAGGGCTTGAAATATTTCACTTCAAGCTCTCCTTGACTTAAGGGTTTGGATTGAGAACTCTGCTGTGACTGATGGGCTTTCTTTTATAGGTGATGTTTCTTTTCTCTAATAGCTTTTAATATTCTGTTGTGTTGAATTTCTGGGATTGTGACTATTATATGCCTTGACATAGATTTTTTTAAAAATCATAACTAACTGGAGTTCTATATGCCTCACTTTCTATATGTCAATTTCTTTTTCCATGTTTGGGAAGTTTTCTGCCATTACTTCTGTAAACAGGTTTTTTTATGTCATTTGTGCTGTCTCCACTTTTTCACTGACTCTGATCAATTATGTTATTTTTCTTTGCATCAACTAGCAGCTGCTGGATTTTTTGTGGCCCCATGCCATTCTTAGGAAATCTTTCTTTTCATGATCACTAACTGTAAACCTGTCTTCTAGATGTGATATTCTGTCCTCACATAGGTTGATTCTGCTGTGTATACTTTCCATAGAATTTTTTTTCCATAGAATTTTTAATCTCCTGGATATCTGTTTGAATCTGTTTCATGGATTCCATGACTGTTGGACATTCATGGTTTCCATAATTTTCCTTAACTCCTCTATTTTTTTTTATCCATGTCTACTCTAGATTCACTAACCATGTCCTTTATTATGGTCATCATTGTCTCTTTAGTTTCTTTGGGGAGAAATTATTTCTAATTTGATTTTTTCTAGAACCTCATTCATTTGCTTCATTACTTTTGCTGTTACCATTTCAGAGAATTCATGTGGGGGGCTTTCACAGTCTTCCACCTCACTGCCCTCTGGGTTTGCCTTGGGTGAGCTGGAAGTCTGAGGTTGCATCTTGCTTCTGTGTCTTCTCATTTTCTTATTCTAGGTATAGCTGGCTTTTGGCTTTTGAGTGTGTTGCAAGATCCTACCTCTTAAATTTATTGGGGATGAGAAGTTGCTGCCTATTTGGCCTAGCCCCTGGTTCTTTGGTACTGGCTTATACTATTGTTTATGACCCTCACTCAATCTCAGTCAGCCACTGTAGTTTGAAGCATCCACTGCTCCATTTCCTTGGAAGTAGGTCTCTGGGGTCGCCAGTATACCATGCCTGTATAGGTTTGAGCCTCCTCTCTCATGCTATGAACTGGATTTGGGGAGAAAGCATCATTAGCCACCTCCCCCTTCTGTGTTGAGGTCGCGCTCTTCACTCTCCCCACGGACTCCAATTCTCACTTCAGATCCTGGAGATCCTGGGGGCCCACTTCCCTCCTTCTTCTCTTCTTCATGTTGTTATATTCCAGCATCTGGACTCCAAATCTTGGAGAGGCTGATTTGCTGCTGCTGATCACTCCACCATCTTCTTGGAAGTCCATAATATATTTGAAATCAGAAACACTTATCATTTTAACAATCAGGAAATTTCAAATACAAATTCTAAATTTTTAGCTTTTCTTTAAAAAAAATCAGTCATTCTGTCCAAATTAGCCCTGCATTCCTGGGTTGCATCTGCTGGTGCACAGACAGACACCGCCCCTTATGTAAGCCCCAACCAGCCCACTTCTCCCACTCATATCACTGGTCTGGCCCCGGGTGACACAGAAATCCACAACTCTTGTGTGGCTCTGTACTAGAATCAGGCATGCTAGAGCTCAGTTGCTCTACCCCTTCTTAACTTTAGTTTCCTCATAACATGGGAGGATTAAGCAAAAAACATGTGAAGCCTATAACATGTAGCAGAGCTTGAGATCCATGTTAGCTGTTCTCCAAAAATGTTGTTCTTTCCCCTGTACCAAATGTAATAAAGGCCAGCTTCTCACCACATATGGGAACCATCGGGAAGCGGAATGTCACACCCAGGACTCTGCTCCATAGTGTCAGGGGAAAACAGCAACTTGCTGGAACCAGAGGGCAATGAATGATGACACAAGGTTTGTAAGGTGATGACCCAGGACTCCCCACCACACCCTCATCCAGGCAGTAAACTGCCACCTCAGGTTTCGGTGGGAAGGGTGAGGCTCAATGCTGTTCATGAGGTGAGTCAGGAGGTAGAAGAAACTATCCAGGGAGGAGAAGAAAGAAACTTGCATTGGCCCTGCAGTTTCCCTGAGGCTTTGTGTGGACCAGAATTCCTCCCTGGACTTTTCAGGGCTTCAGTCCTGCACATGAGGACTGCTGGTTTCCTCAACTCTCCTTGCACTACTAGAAAAGATGGAACATGGGGGAGTGCACAGTACAGGGGCCAGTTCACAGCAGACTCCATAGTTCAATGGAGCAGTACTTGTACTGGAAAGATCAGGAGACTGCAAGAGAAGAAGAGGGCCCCGGACACTTATTCTTGAATGCAACAGTGTGCTTAATGTGGTCAGCTCTTCTCAAGCTCATGCTTCACTTCTTTCCTCTCTGCTGAGGATGATCTGCCAGAACTCCTTTGGAACCCATTGCATTTGATCAGAGAGCCCTGGTGCACCTCTCTTTGCTAAGACAAGGGGTCATTTTCAGCTATAAGGTTTTTATCATAGAAACAAATGAACATATATGAAATAATTTCTTAAGAACTAAATTTTCACAGTTTCAACTTTAATAAGTTTTCTTCTCATTCCTATCCACGCATGTGGATAGCTGTGTGTTATTGCAATCATAACATAATTGTGATTATTATCATGCTTCTTATTTCACCTGACATCTTAACACATTTTTCCATAATGTCATATAATCATCTTAATGACCACGTTGAGAAGGTTTGTCACACGCCAAGAGGCCATTCCCCCACAAGGTATTGAAGTCTATTCCCTCTTGCACTTGGTTTTCAGTGTCTCAGTAGTGTAAAGAATAGTTTCTCAACAAAGATGTGTGTCAATCATCTTCAGAGTTTTAGAAATACAGATGCTCAGACCCCACCCAGAGTAAATGAATCAGAATCTCTGGGCGTGGGGCCTGACCACAAGTATATTCCAAATACTGCTCAGTGACTGGTATATGACAAATGTTGAAGATTACCATTACAGATAAGGCCACAATGAGGAGTCTTTTTGAGTTACCTGACAAACCAACTTGCTGTAAGACTGAGCTGGAAGCCAGGCCTCGTCCCTTAGGGAAGGGAACAGAGCTGCCAGGCCACAGGGAAGCAGGAGGCATTATGACCCAGGAGTTGTCTGGCATGTTATAAGAAACTAACAT